TGACAGGGTGGTATTAGTATCTAACTACACGCAAACCTTGAATATTTTACAAGAAGTATGCCAGCGCCATGGATATGCTTACACAAGGCTGGATGGGCAAACGCCAATCTCTCAAAGGCAGCAGATTGTTGACGGTTTCAATAGTAAATACTCCTCCGATTTTATTTTTTTGTTAAGTTCCAAGGCTGGTGGTGTGGGACTTAATCTTATTGGAGGCTCTCACTTAATTCTCTATGACATTGATTGGAATCCAGCCACTGACATCCAGGTAGGAATATTTATGCAATAAGTAAACAAATTTGAATGTCCATGGGGATAGGAAGAAGATGATAATATAATGGCTGCTGCACATTGAGCCCTTTATTGTGTATGAGGCATATTGCTAAGTGCTTTCTGCTTATTTGATCTTCACAACTCTCTAGGGCAGATGTTATTAGCTTTTTAGAAGTGAAGATGAACTTTATTCTAGGATAGACAGCTTTTTAAAGAGGTAGCAGCAGTATTGAAGTCTAAGTCTAGGTCTCCAGGCTCTCATTCCATGATAGTTTGGCTTCAGGGCACTTATGAAGGTCCAAGAGAAGATAATAAAGTGTTATAGATGTTAGACCAATGTTTTTATGAGGTAGGTCAAGGTTATATAATTATTTAGGCAAATATTTCCAAAGAAACTTTCACTTTTCTTCTGTGTGTAGTCTGTCTTCAATTTCTACCTACAGATTTGCATAGGAATCCCTATAACCACTCTCACATTCACTGATTCACTAGAAGCACTCTAACAGAACTAAGATGAGTTATACCCAGGATTACAGTTTATTACAGTAAATGAACACAACCAAGGTGCAAGGCTCATAGGCAGAGGCCAGAGGAGACCAGGTTCAAGCTCCCAGTTTCCATCTCCTAGTGGAGTCCTATGTATAGCCCTTAATTTTCCAGCTATGATGTATGACAACATCTCTTGAGTATTGTCACCCAGGGAAGCTCCTCCAAACCTCACCATACAGATTTTTTATTGGAGGTTGGTCATGTAGACATGGAATACCACTGTAGCTGACCCCAGTGACTCAATCTCCAATTTCAGAGAGCAAACTGCAGTCATGCCAAGATCTCCACCGTAAATCACATTGTTAGTATGAATTATCCTGCATGGCTCCAGGCCCAAGATGATGATACTGCAACCAGGCAGGAGAATCCAAGGTCTTAGGGGCTGTCTGTCTTTCAGTAGTGCTCAAGGGCCTGGTCTTCTTTGTATGTAGCATTTGAACACCTTAGACCTCCTGAGTTAATCCATTACTGTACATTATCAGTGATGTGTTCCTGAACCACAAATCTACCTAGTGTGGAGCCAGTTTCTGGTATCTGAGAGACTCAGCTAATATCAGGGCTGTAAGTAATGATTGGGAATAAGCCCACTGTACAATCCTTGATTCTTTGGGCTTCTGCTGTCCGAACTCACTGTCCCATTCTTTGATACAGGTAGACCTTCTCAATGTTGGGCTATTCACACACTTATTCATACAGTACCACAGTGGGTATTCAACCCAGTGGCACCACTAGGGGTCTCCAAGGGCTGTAGCCTCCACCTAGGGACTATCAGAAAGGGTGACACCAAAGTGACTGGCTCCTAAGATTTGGTTCAGTGTTGCAGCAGAGATCTATTATTTTTAAGAAAAATGAGTCTGTGGTTAGTTATAACAGTGAAAGCAAATTTTTGTAAGCCCAGTTTACAAATATCAATATACTTTTCAGGCTGACACTCAATGCTGATTTACTTTTTGAACCTTTGAATGCACTCTGCCTAGAGCTGTCTTTGTTGCCCAGTAACAGTGATGCTTTGAGTCAAGTGGCTTCATCTGCCCCCAGGACAGCGCTGACACACTGTTGTTTTCATTGCTGCCAGTTATCATCATTGATTTTGTGAAATGTTCCGGTGTTTGAGCTACAATCTTGTTGTAATTAGTATTTGTGAACCTATCTATGTTAATCATTTTTTGAGAAATATGTAATTAAAGGAAAATGAGAAAAATAAAATATTCCTGTGCAGTTACTAATAATGTTGTATATAATATTATAATCAGTCATATGAGATCAAAAGGGCAACACTAGCTCACACTGGGGATATTGTTTCAATGTCATGAAATGAAATGTGTATGAATTGTGGAATGAAAAACTCATTTACTCTGTTAGCTCTCACTTGAGTCACAGTAATAGCAGGGAGGCAGCACTGGAACTGACTGTGATGGTGAATATACAACTCTTAAAAAGAAACAC